GCTCTGGGAACAAACTTTAAAATGTGTTAGTTTTGACATCTGTGTCCTCTATTTTGACTATACAGCATTGTACTTTTAGGGATTTCCTTAATTATGTGTGACCACAGCAAATTTCAAATATCTCTCTTTTTGAGCTCATTGTTTCCAAAAGTGTTATAGATTGAATGACTGACCCAAATCTTTTTTTTAATTATTATTATTTTTTAATATACAGCCTTATCAATCTGACTAGAATCTATTTCCTCACCTCTGGTCTTACTTAGGCCAGGGGCATGTGGATAGTACATGCTAGTTCTGAGCCATGGCTTAAAGATACCTGCAGTTTTTCTGCTTATGCTCCAGAGCCTTTACCATCACTATGAGAAAAACAGGTCCTTGTGTGGCCCCCTGGACCCATGAGAAAGATGAGAGACACACAGACTAGAGTGTCAGGTGAATGGAACCCAGATTAGCTGGCCCTGAGCTGCCACAGTCTGAAGCAAAATTGACCTATATACTGAAATCCAGTCACTACGCAAGTCCTCACTCCTATCATCCTAGCCTGAGCCACCATCACTTCACTCTTTTTTTCTTATTTTTTTAAGATTTACTTATTTGACAGAAGGAGAGAAAGAGCGCACAAGTAGGCGGAGCAGTAGGCAGAGGGAGAGGGAGAATCAAGCTCCCTGCTGAGCAGAGAGCCTTACTAACTAGGAGCTTGATCCCAGGATGCTGGGATCACGACCTGAGCAGAAGGCAGATGTTCAACAGACTGAGCCGCCCAGTCGCCCCCATCACTTCACTTTTGATTACTGCATTCATCTATCAGCTGGTCTTTCTGCTGTGAGTAAATCACACATCCATACAAATCAATAATTTGTTTAAAACCACTGAATTTTGGGATAATTTATTATGCAACATTAGCATGGCAATGGGCCAACTGACACGTAGGTTTCTTAAATTAGCCAGAACATTGTTTTTATCACAATGCTTACTCCCCTCAAATTTGTATTTATATAACCATTGTAAAAATAGTCTCCTAAACATTGAAATTTTTTTTAAAGAATTTAGTTATTTATTCATGACAGACAGAGAGAGACACAGGCAGAGGGAGAAGCAGGCTCCATGCGGGAAGCCTGACGTGGGACTCAATCCCAGGTCTCCAGGATCACACCCTGGGCTGGAGGCAGGCGCTAAACCGCTGAGCCACCCAAGGATCCCCCAACATTGAACTTTTTAATGGAATTTACAACTTCAATGTAATTTGCAAATGTCAGATATTTCACTTTCTCCAAAATTTGCACTTTGACTCCATAAATAGGGCAGGAAAAATCTGAAGTATTATTGGAATAAACCTACATGAATTCTTAGCATTGGTATTGCTTTGCTTTCCATGTGTTCCCAGGAAAAATTGGGATTGAAAGTAAATTAAGCCAGAAGAAGTCTCAGTTGATCTAAATGAAAACTCATGTTTCTCAGTATAAAATGTATGAGTTATAAGTATTAAATTGTTGTCTTTGTAAACATTCTTCCTAAAATGAGTACTAACTTCTGAAGTATATGTTGGTGTTTCTTCAAAGACTTGAGTTCTCTGGCTCTGTAGTGACTACTAATCAGGTTTTACTAAGGCCTCTGTGGTGAATGGTTTGCATTGATAAGTTTTTTGTGTGTGCATGTGTGTGTGTGTGTGTGTGCAAGTTCACATTAATTATTCACATATTCGAGAAGTAGAGATTTAGTACTAGTATTCCTTAAATGCATTTTTCATATTTTGTGCTCATTGCTGCCAAATGAGTCTGCTGCAAAATTAAAAAAAGCTTTGCCAACAATAACCATTTATAATTTACAGATTCAATATATGACCAAACTATTACAGCAAGATATTTTAAAGTACTCTTTCTCTCTCTCTTTTTTTAAAGATTTTATTTATTTGAGAAAGAACGTACACAAGCAGGGGGAGCAGCAGAGGGAGAAGAAAGACTTTCTCAGACTTTCTGCTGAGCAGGGAGCCCAATTCAGGGCTCAATCCCAGGACTCTGAAATCATGACCTGAGCCAAAGATAGACACTTAACCGGCTGAGCCACCCAGTTGCCCCTAAAGTTTTCTTTAAAAACATAGGCAGTAATCTCTTAGTCATTGTTCTTAGTGACATATTTATGGATATGTCTCCTTAGGCAAGATAAACAAAAGCTAAACTAGTGGTACTACAACAAGATAAAAGGCTTTACACAGCAAAGGAAACCATTAATGAAATGAAATGGCAACCTTGCGAATGGAAGAAGATATTTGCAAATTATATCTCTCATAAGGGGCTAATATTCAAAATATATAAAGAACTTAGATAATATAACAACAATGAAAAGATAAATAATCTGATTTAAAAATGGGCAGGGAACCCAGAGAAATATTTTTCCAAAGAAGACATACGTATGGCCCACTGAACACGAAAAGATTCTCAACATCACTGATCATCGAGGAAATGCAAATCAAAACCATAATGAGAAATCCCCTTACACGTGTCCGAATGGCTAGAACCAAAAAGACAAGAAAAAAAATGTGTTGATGAGGATGTGGAGAAAAGGGAACCTTCATGCATTGTTGGTGGGAATGTAAATTGGTGACATTATTGCGGAAAACAGGATAGAGGTTCCTCAAAAAATTAAAAATAGAATAACCATATGATCCAATAATTTCACTACTGGGTATTTACCCAAAGAAAACAAAAACACAAACTTGAAAAGACGCACGTACTTCCATGTTGACTTGAGTATTATTCACAATAGCCAACATACGGCAACAACCCAGGTGTCCATAATAAAATAATGGATAAAGAAGATAAAGTACATATATACAAGGGAGTGTTACTCAGCCATTAAAAAAGAATGGGATCTTGCCATTTGCAACAGCATGGGGACCTGGGGCATTATGCTAAGTGAAATAAGGCAGACAGAGGATGACAAATGCCATATGATTTCGCTTATATATGGGATCTAAAACGAAACCAACACAAATAACAACAACAAAAAACCCAGACTCTTAAATACAGAGAACTGATGGTAGCCAGAGGGAAGGTGGGTGAGAGGTTGGGCAAAATAGGTAAAGGGAATGAAGAGATACAAACTTCCAATTAGAAAATAAATGAGTCGTGCAGATGGAATGTACAGCACAGAGAGTAGAGTCAGTGATATTGTCATTGTGTTGCCGGGGGACTGATGGTGACCACACTACACTTATTCTGGTGAGCACTGAAAATATGCAAAACTGTCAAATTCATATGTTGTATACCTGAAACTCATATAACATTGTCTTTTAATCATACTTCAATTTAAAAATGAAAAAAAATAAGCCCTCTCTTTATACTACAGAAGTATCATATCTACGTAACCTTAAATTTTCCAGATTTCTTGTTGACCCTGCAGACTGTTGACCGGTAGCTTCCCGGGGCTTCCAAGGGTCTGGCAGAGGGTGGAGCTTCTCCCATCACCACCTGAAACTGCAGAGTCGAGGGTCCCTAGCCACTCAGGGCCAAGTGTACTTGGTTTTATCAGTGGGAACCCCGTGCTGTCCTCGAACAGGAGCTGCTAGTTACACTGAATCTGAAAATGGGCAGGAAGGTGCTTATTAAAGGTTGTTTTAAAAGTATAACCAAGTTCCTAACCGACGGTGACAGAAGCTGAAGATACAAAGAGTGGATGTAACAAGCTCATCCCTGATTATTTTAATATAAATATTAATTAATAGTACATTCATAGAAATGAAAAATCCTGGACAAATGTTAAGTATCAATGCAATGTGTTTCAGCTGACCTGGGAGACACACACACACAAACACACTCACACACACGAGCAATAGGCTTTTACTTGAATTGGCCTCCTTCAACCCACTCTTCCTTCCATTCTAAGACTTTCTCCAAAAGAAAGAGAAAAAAAAAAAAAACAGAAAGAATCGAAAGGGTAAATTGTAATAAAATGTCTTTTAGATGAGGATTTGCCTTGAACCCTGAAAAGTCACGTATCTATTCTGTGGGTTTAGTATATTTTTATGATAAAAAGCTACTTCTCGGATTTTCAGGCTTGCTGGCACTAGCCGTTATAATCATCCGTCTAATGTCTCTGTCTCACAATAACCATCTGATTATAACATTGCTTCCCACATATATTTGCCCCAGGGAAAAAAAAAACGTGCTGATCGGCAAACACGAGTATCCTTTCTTCTCGATAACGTAATTCTTATTCTGAAATAACAAACTGCCTTTCTGGCTTTATAAACAGTCTAACAAAAACACTTTGAATGTATCTTCTTTTTGAATATTGCCCTACATCTTTTTTCTGTTACAGTCTATTCTAGGAAGAATGGTCTTTTTCCCTGGTTCAACATGAACTCATTCATTCAACAATCATTTGTAGAGGACTTAATACATAAAGGGAAGAGGGCTTTGAGCTCTACATTTAGTGAACTGTCAAAATAGGACCAAGTTCTGTATACTTTTCACGCTCTTACAACTTCTTTAGATTTGGAAATCTTTTCAAGTCATGCAAAGAGAGTGAATAGAACATTCAGTTACTTGAATACTTAAGAATTTTTTACATTTAGTTCAATGACATATTGAATATTACTGATATTATGATTTTAAATGATGAAGAAATTAACCAGAAAAGTCTATCACTAATAATCACTTGATATATTTTTCTATTTTCTTTTACGTTTTCCAACCCATAGTCCTATGTAACTAAAAAATCTCATTTCCACCCAGTTCTGAACCATGTCTATTTATTTAAACTGACTCACTCAATGATCCAGTTGTAATACATTGGTTATAAAGAAAAATCCAAGATCTAAAAAGTAAAGTTGAATGAATGATTTGGGCTAGATTTCCTTAGAATTTATTTTCTTTCCGCACCACCTGGGACCTTTAAAACTTCCAGCACACTAGGTTTTTAATCCCTTCAGCATTTCTGCTCAAACTCAGTATGCATGCAAATCACCCAAGGATCTTGTTAAATTGGAATTATGATTCAGCAAGTCTGGGGGTGGAGTCTGAGATTCTATGCTTCTGACAAGCTTCCAGGAAAGGTGGATAGTGATGATCCAGGGGCCACATTTGAGTAACAAGACCCTGGAAGACAGACAAAGATATTAATAACTTGGAAGTTTTATAATGAGAATTCTTACAAATAAGAATATATGCAAATTGTGATAAATAATCCTGGTAATATATAACAATTTGTCCTTGGGGCCCAAGCAATGGGCTCAGCATTGCCTAGGGATGCAGAATCATAGAAATGAGCCTGTTGTTTAAAAAAACCAAGCATTAACCAAAATTACTACAAACCAGTAAATTAGTCACTCTAGGTAATATCAGGTATTTAGGTATGTGCAATTGTGTTAATTAATGTACATGATAAATGTATAACTTATCTAAGTTTCTTAGCTGCAAACACAAAACTCAGTTTGCATACCATGCTTGTGGAAATTATTTTAAACAGAGAAAATAGTCAAGAATCTGAGAACAACAGCATTATTAATATCCTTTGAGTGTGTTCTTATTCCATTACAAACTGTTTAACGTTATTACAATAAAGGTTTTTTACTTTTCCCTCATGGTATAATTATTACACATTGAAAAGAAAATTTCTATTGTGTAATATAATTTTTTAATATAATTTTTAAAATAGCTGTATCTCTTTATAAAAGAAAAAGGCAAATCTAGTATAAAAGTAAAAAATATAAAATATCACAAATGCAATGCTTTATCATCAATTAATAAGTGTTGATTGAAATGTTCAGGATTTTTCAGACCACATACTACTACTTCTGCCTCTCAATAAACCTTGGAATGCCCTGATATTGCCCTGCTCTATTAAGAAGGGGGGCATTTAAAAAACTCAGTTATTCTATTTTTATGGTAATCAGAACCCTCAATTTCTATCTGATTTTTTTAGTCAAAGCAGTCTCATTTACATGAGTACAATAAACGTTTTGAAGTGTGGCTAGGATCATTTCCATAATTCTATATTTCTTATCTTTCCTTAGTCTTCTTTAACCTGACATTTTTGCTATAATTTGCAAAACTGAACTCCATTCAGAAATAAAATCCTTGATAGAAAAAGTGAGAATCAAGAAGACAGGCACCACATTTAATGCAGCTTTTCTCTTTCATCATTAACCCAATGGGCAGGAAGAAAAGCTCACAAAGGAGTTCACCATCAGGGCAGGATTGATTAACTTGCTAGAAATAGACATCATTTTCATCCAAGTTTAGATTGGCTCCTACCAGTACTGTGTGATTTCACTTGGAAATGGAACCAGCTACAAGTAGCCACATGCCTGAGTCGAATACAGAAATTGTACCTGTGCCATTTACTACTACTCACTCCTGTTTTGTTTAGAACATTCTTATAAACATAAAATAAAAAAGTTGCAAATATTAACAGCAATACTAAAACACTTTTAAAATGTTTCTTTGAAAAAAAAAATAAACAAATGTTTCTTTGTATTTGTGTGCTTTACAACAACCTCTATACGCTTTTTTTTCCCCCAAACAAGAGTCTTATTCTGCGTGTGTCTTGGCATTCTAGCAAGCATTTGTGTCATGTTCAATTATGAATGTGTTCATTTAATTGAGAAGATTGAATAAATCATATGCTCAGTTGATGAAAGCACTTTCTTTTTTAAATAAGCAGATTGACATAAAATACTTCAGTAAGACACTTATCTATATTTTACTGACTTTGAAATTTGTGTCAGGAACTTCGGTTTATCTGCAGGAGCTACATACTTTATCAGTTTTTTCCCCCCTGAAATAAGGCAGCCTTACCAGATAAATTCAAATACCATTTCCATGCAGCTTTTTCTTCCACCCTGAAAAGCAAGCACTTAGGCAAGTGAAGTAAAAGTGTGCCTTCTAAAGCCACATCCTCCGTGGATGACTTTTAGAGGGAGCACTTTCTATTTTTCAAATTGAAGCCGGATACTTAGAGCCCTTGGAGATAAAACAGCAGAACCTACCAGTCTCACGGCATCTGAAACCACAGTTTGTACCTGTCACTTACAGTTTTGTAAATGAACTAAAAATAAGAGATTGATGGGTTATGTGAAATCCATAATTTCTGTTAATGGTCTACTAAGAAAACACTGGATGTCCCTCAATGGCTCTCTCTCCCTGCTGCCGTCAAGAGGGCTTTTAGAACATTTGTTTAGTCACTTTCTCTTGTTTTGACTTTGAAGTAAAATAGTAAGTGTGCTTATTAAGTTTAGTCGCTTTCTGTAAAGATTCTCAGCACATGATTTTGCTTTCTAACTTCCCAGTGAACTCCCTGAAAGCATCCTTGTATGCACATCAGTATTCTTTCTAGTTTCAGGGGCTGTGCTTCTGTCCAGAGTGAAGGCTAATCAAGGTTGTTGTCCAGATACTAGGGCCCCCTCCTGCTCAGGAAAATATCTTCATATTCCTCTCTCCCTCCCCCTCTTCCTTCCTTCTCCCTCTCCCCATCCCCATCTCTCCCTCCCTCCTCCCTTCTTCCCTAACTCTCCACCCCTATCTCCATCTCATCTCTGTCTTTCCCTGTGTCTTGTTATTTTCAACTTCTCCAGTCCCACCTGCTCTTTCTTTTCAGACTCTTTCCTATCAGAACATAAATACTCCCAGTTTCTTGTTCTAAAAATAATATCCTATAACTGTCTTCTCTTTCCTTCCTTTCCAAACCAAACTTCTTGATAAAGTAGAGCACTCCCCACTCCATATCCTCACCTTGAATTCAATCAAGAGCCTACTGCAGTTTGGCCTCTGCTCACAGAACTCCTCGCGGTGCCAAAGAGGTCAGTAACTCTCTCCCACTAAACAGTTGCCAGGCAGTATTTTACTTGGAATTTGTGGCATTTAATAGGGTTGAGTCTTCCCTTCCTGAAAGTATTCCCTCCTTGGCATATCTTTTTTTGTTTCTATATTTTCTTCCATCTCACATTGGCTTTGAACCAAAAATATTTAAATAAAATTATGTGCAGTGTTGAGCAAGTTCTTACATATGAAAAGAAAACAAATGCCAATCTGATTGTACAGGAAATGGCATCAAATTGCCCAGACCCTAAAATTATATACGAAAAGCAGTCATTATCCATACTTCAAATTAGCTAAATGCACAAAACCATAATTTTATCTTCATGTATCAGCCTAGGAATAACTACTTTGTTCTACGCACGTATCACTGGTCTCTTGAACTGACCCAACCAGAAGAAATCACTAAGTAGGAAGGCACAACAACTAACCCTCTCAACATCTTATGACTACAGAGAAGAGGTGTCAACTTCTCAACTGTGTGAGCTTCCTGTTTCTCCAAAAGGAAGGTTAAAAGGTACTCATCTGAAAGCAGTTTTTAATTTTTTAAAAAGATTATTTATTTATTTATTCGAGAGAGAGAGAGAAAAAACAGGCAGAGACACAGGAAGAGGGAGAAGCAGGCTCCATGCCGGGAGCCCGACGTGGGACTTGATTCCAGAACCCCAGGATCATGCCCTGGGCCGAAGGCAGACGCTCAACCACTGAGCCACCTAGGGATCCCTGAAAGCGGTTTTTAAAAAGCAACTTAATCTTTCTGTTTTTGCTAAATTTTACATTCATTTTAATGGGCAAAGATGCATTTGTTTCTTAGGGTTGTTGTGACAGAGTACCAAAAATTGGGTGACTTAAAACAACAGAAATTTATTCTCTCACAGTACTATGAGCTAGAAATTCAAAGTCAAGGAGTAGTAGGGCCATATTTCCTCCAAAGATGTGGGGGAAGGATGCTTCCTTATCTCATCTAGTTCCTGGCAGTTGCCAACAATGGTTGGTGGTCTCTGGCTTGAACATGTGTCACTCTGATCTCTGCCTCTGTCTTCACATCCCTGTTCCCTTGTGTGTGTCACTGTGTCCAAATTTCCCTCTTATTTTTTTTAAGATTTGTTTATTTATTCATGAGAGACAGAAAAAGAGGCAGAGACACAGGCAGAGGGAGAAGCAGGCTCTCCATAGGGAGCCCCATGTGGGACTCGATCCAGGATCCCAAGATCATAGCCTGGGCCAAAGGCAGGCAGGTACTCAACCACTGAGCCACCCCGGTGCCCTTGAATTTCCCTCTTAAAAGGACACCAGATATTTTGGATGTAGGGCACACCTCAATCCAGTATGACCCCATCTTAAGTGGATTACATCTGCAAAGACCCTACCTCCAGATAAGATCACATTCACAGGCTGTAAAGGAAGATATACTTTGAGGAGACACTTTTCACCTTGGTATAAATGGAAAATCAAAAATTGTTATTTTGGAAAGTAAAAAGGGAAAAGGAATTTATTATTGTTAAGTGATCACATATTATTTTTCTTCCTCTACAAACTCATACTAAAACAATAGTAAAGGAATAAAGCCATAAACCCCCACCAATCCATAGGAAGCAGAGATAATATAGGCTCTATTCTTTTTTTTTGTTTTTGGCTCTATTCTTTTTAAATGTGAAAATTATATTGCCTAATAGATCTATGAATAGGATGCTGCGGAAAGGAAAAATCAGAGAACAAAATTACGATAGAAATAACATTATAAAAGGATTGAAAGATAAATCCCAGAACGAAAAGTAAAGCAAAAAAAAAAAAAAAAAAAAAAAAAACCCAAAGAAATAAAGAAGAGGAAGCATAGGAAGAAAGTTAGTAGATAAGTTGGTGGGGTTTATAGTCTATTTAATACGAATTGTAGACAGAGAAAACAGAGGAGAATGAACTATCAAGAAAACTATTTTTTTAAACACGAGGGACATAAATCCCTAAACAAATCTATCCAGCACAAGTGACCAATAGAAAAAAAATGAAAAAAGACCCCACAAAACACATGAAATGTAGACTTTCAAAATAACTGCTATAAAGTCGAAAACAAAAAGTTTCCAGAGAAAAATATAGCAAATCAGAATTATAGGAGTCTTCTCAGAACAACAGTGAAAAACAGAAGACTTTGGAGAAATATCTTTAAATTTCTTAATGTAAATGGCAGTTGATGACCAACGCTATACTCAGCCAAGCTACTGATCAAGAACGAGAGGGAAATAAAGACATGTTTAGGAATGCAAGGACTCAACACGTACAGGTAC